ACGCTTAAATAGGAAATTGGATCACTGTTTCTGCCAAGTGCCAGATCAGTTAGGCTCTGATGGATACGTGGGACAGCGGGCTGCAAACATAAACAGTGATCAACCAGACACATGGGCAACTCTTGGGTATCTTTATTAAGGAAACGTTTCGCCACACAGTGGCTTCATCAGTCCATACAAAGGAGAAACTTGAAGAACAGGAGGAGAATGAGGTAATCAGTCCCTCAGCCTTGAGTCGATGTGGTCAGTCCATCAATCTTGAGTAGAATAGGTTGAGTAGAATTGGTATTCTACTCAAGATTGATGGACTGACCACATCGACTCAAGGCTGAGGGACTGATTACCTCATTCTCCTCCTGTTCAAGTTTCTCCTTTGTATGGACTGATGAAGTCACTGTGTGGCGAAACGTTTCCTTAATAAAGATACCCAAGAGTTGCACGTGTCTAATTTATCAACGTGTCGGTTCTGAGAACCATTCATCAACAGTCTGGTCAACCAGGCAAGCAGAAAAATCTAGCCTAGGTCAGGAGTAAGAAACTTTTTTAAACCCAGTCATAGGTATGGCACAAGTACTCCCTTGTCATCGCCCTCATCGTCTTCCCTGCCATCTCATTTATCGTCTTCCCTGCCATCTCCCTTATCATCTTCCTTGCTATCTCCCTCATCGTCTTCCCTGCCATCTCCCTTATCGTCTTCCCTGCCATCTCCCTTATCGTCTTCCCTGCCATCTCCCTTATCGTCTTCCCTGCCATCTCCCGTATCGTCTTTCCTGCCATCTCATTTATCGTCTTCCCTGCCATCTCCCTTATCTTCCTTGCTATCTCCCTCATCGTCTTCCCTGCCATCTCCCGTATCGTCTTCCCTGCCATCTCCCTTATCTTCCTTGCTATCTCCCTCATCGTCTTCCCTGCCATCTCCCGTATCGTCTTCCCTGGCATCTCCCTTATCGTCTTCCCAGCCATCTCCTTTATCTCCACACTGGTCATCGGACTAGGTATAAATGACATGACTTCCCTTCTTAATTCATGCAGAACAGCGAAACTGTGATGACTGATGAGCTTTGTCAAGCTTGACAAAGCTCCTGGAGAGCGAAACGTTGCCACAATAAAAGGTCGCATTAGTTGCACATATGTCCTTTTTACCTAACAACAAAGACAACAGCATGAACAGCAACAACAACAACAACGACGACGACGATAATAATAATTAATAATAAGTGAGAAAACGTTGAGTGGTTATTGAGGACACTTGCCTAATCAGTATGCAAGACACACTTGCCACTATGCAAGAAAATATATAATTATTATGTTGCAAAAACAAAAAAACAGTGTGTAGGGTAGACTGTCATCTGTAAAGACGGAGCATTAAAAATGTATTGGAGGACAGTGTTTTCTTCACGTCAAGGATGGGGATAACATACCTTGGTAGCGGCAAAGGGCTCTTGATCCAAGAAATTGGAGGTACGCTCACCTTTTTTTGATCACATCTTATGACCTACCTCGTAATGCCCTTACGAGTTGAACGCTTCTCCATGAATATAATAAGAGGAAAAAATATTATAGTAATAATAGTAATACAAAATGTGTTCTCTATTCAGATTACGAATAGAACAAAATGTTGCATTTCTTAAAAGGCAGCAGCCAGGGTTTTTGAGAGTGAGACGTGCTTAAGAGGGTAAACTGCTCTGGAGAGCCTCATGTCTGAGAGGTAAAGGCAAAAGTGCTTCTGGTTTAGTTACGTTTACTGGAAAGGCAGGAAAGGCCAGGCTTTGAAATGAGCAGAGGTAGGATAATGACTCTTGCAAAATATTTGTAGACATTACCAATTTTTAACCACATTTTTCATCGAGTTAGCGTACGTACAAGAGATCGGGACTGTTTTCCAGGTAAAGTCTGAGACAGATGTTTCACGGGGTAGTAAGAAAGGAAATGGGAAGACGTATGGGATTAAAAGACAGTGTGTATGACATGAAGTGGGAATCGTCACATTTGCTCTTCGCCGATGACACACTACTTTTGGGAGATTCTGAAAAGAAGTTGCAAAATTAGTGTGGGAGGGTGTGCAAAAGAAATTGGAAATGGACACATAAAGGAGCACAGTGATAAAAGTAAGAATAATTTTAAGAAATTAAAGATTGAGAGAAGGGCACATGGATGATGTATATAGATATTGGGAGTGGATTTACCAGCAAATTCGTATAAAAACCGTGGTTAACCATATAGACCAGAGGAGGGGAGTAAAGGCAGGTAGAGTGTTGAAACGTTTGTTCCAAGAAGTTTATCACTGGAGGCAAAAAGATGAATGTACAGTAGTGGTACAAAGAAGTGTGAGTGTGAGGTATGGTCTTTAAATGTTGCAGTAAGGAGGAAGCTGGGGCCGGTAAAGGTGTTATGTTTGAGATCAGTATGTGATGCGAATATTATGCAGAGTGTAAGAAGCTTAGAAATTAAGAGACAGCGTGATGGTATGCGTGCAAGATGTAATTCAGAGGGCAGAGGAAAGGGTTGTTCAGATGGTTTTGTTCATTTAGAAAACTAAAATAGGTTTCCTAGCTTTAGCCCAGCAGTGGTAATGTTGCCTGCCGATCTTTGTACTTTCTCTATAGTCATGTTTTCTTGGCACATTTCCTTATGATGGGCAGTGGATTTGCTAGCTTTCTTCAAACTCGTTTGTGAATGTCGAATATAATTTTGGTTTCTGAAGCGGTAGTTCAAAACACATTGTTTGAAAAGAACTAGAAGACGACGAGTTTGAAGAAAGTAGTACAGAAGAAATAAAAGTTGATCCATTGCCTATCATAAGGATATGTGTTAAGTAAAATTTTGGGAGGCAGCTTTCTGCAGTACTGTCCTTGCTTGAACTATCTATATTCTATACCACTACTATAATATTAAAAAATGCTGAATCAAGTATATAGAAAAAACAAAGGTAGCCAGCGTTTAGTTAGTCTGCCCCAGTAGACAACCTCCTTGTAGAGTGTAAGGTCATTTGCTGTCTGCCTTTCCTGTGTCCTTACTGCTTTTGTCTGGCAGTTCCGGTACAAGTGTGATGTCATACTTACAACTTTCTTGAGTTTCACCTTCTATTTGGATAAGTGAGGATTCCACACTGGTATTTATGCGACCCAGGATTGGTCGAACATGTTTGGTGGATAGCAGTTTGAAAGAACCTTTGTTCACGTTCCAGAAGGCCCACCTTACGTTGCTAAGGTTATCTCTCTGTCTCTGTCTGTCTCTGCCTCTGCCTCTGTCTCTGTCTCTGTCTCTGTCTCTGTCTCTGTCTCTGTCTCTGTCTCTGTCTCTGTCTCTCGCTCTGTCTCTCTCCTCTCTCTCTCCTCTCTCTCTCTCTCTCCTCTCTCTCTCTCTCTCTCTCTCTCTCTCTTCTCTCTCTCTCTCTCTCTCTCTCTCTCCTCTCTCTCTCTCTCTCTCTCTCTCTCTCTCTCTCTCTCTCTCTCTCTCTCTCTCTCTCTCTCTCTCTCTCTCTCCACTTCACGTGACAGGTTTGACATAATGTTCACTCCTTTTCTGTGAATTGCTACTTTCCGCTTGTTTGTTCATTTGTTAGGGAAAAAATCATCTGATACGGGTTTGGTCAAAAGATGAACCATTTTTTTTTTTTTTTTAATTTGGATACATCAGAAATTTGGTGTTACCCGGTATGATAGTTACATAGTGGGAACAAAAGCTAGATTTTCCCTTTTGATATATGCTCTTGATGGGTTTTGAGAGTTTTTCTACTCACGAAGCCCGGCCTTGGGACAGGCTTCTCTGGTGCTTGCCTGGTGAACCAGGTTATTGCTGCTGGTGGCCCACTGGCCTACATATCCAGCACAGCTTGGTTGACCTGCACTTGGCGACGGATATTGTTAAGTTTTCTCTTGAAAATTTTCACTTCTGACAAGATGCTAAAAAGTCAGGGAACGCGTATGTTGATACAATGTTCTCTTATTGGCCCCACGGCGTCCCTGCCTTTCACGGGGTTTATTCGGGCACTCGGAGTGGTTGTTATATTGAGGGAATTTACAAGCCTGTGGTGGAAGACTTCAGAAAAGATGAGGATATCTTAAGGCATTTTACAAATTGTTAAGTGGCTAATGAAAATATGAAGGTTTCCTTTCAGCAAAGTTTGCTATAGTTTCTGTGGCGGGAGCGTGGTGGCAACCCAGTGTGTCTGGTCTTGTGAATTTGGGCTAGGCGGTCATACTATGGCAGTGGGGCTGCAAACGTGCAGAGAAGAATACCAAAGTTGATACCGTGTAAAAGAAACTTTTCCTACGAAAATAGACTGAAGGCACTGAATTTATGCCCTTTATTTCCACCTGGTAGGATCTATTAGACTTGAAAAGCCTCCTGTGCAGGCCAAACGTTGTTCGTATTAAAATTACCAATTGCTACTTTTGAGTCTCTCATCTACAACTCTTACGTATTCCCATAAAATCAGCTGGCATAACTTGTTTTTGAAAAAAAAAAAACTTTGAATGAGAGAGATATGAGTATGCTAGTGAAGACAGGCATTAATAAAGGAGATGTAAGTAAGGTACTAAGAATACATACCCAAGAACTCGAAATAATGGAATCAAGTTGAATAAATTTAGATTTAGAATGACTATCGGAGAGTATTGGTTTAACAGCAGAGTTATTAGTGAGTGAAACAAACTGACCAGTAGTCATTAAAGCTCAAAATTTTGGTAGTTTTAAAATTATTAGCGAAAAGGGTTGAGTTTCAAAAGAATCTGCCAAGCTTAAGCCAGTACACCTACTGCAATGCTCCTCTGTTCGTATGTTCTTAATCCAACTGGGAGGTCGTGTATATTCTAGGATCAGTGTGAGGCCAAGGACTAGCCCTTGGGAATTTTTCACTAGCTATTCACCCACATTGATATTTCTTCTCTCACCATCATCCTTGCCTTCTGTCTCTCAAGTATTCTTTAATGCGAGGTTTGGGGGTCAGGGAAGGGGCTGGGGCCGGAATGAGAGAGAAAGTGAGTGATTGTGTATGTTAAAGGTGTGGACAGGTAGACCAAGTGAGGAATATTACCTGTGTGTGGGACAGTCGTGCGGAGAAAGTGGTCGAGTTGGGTAGGGACGACCATCATGCACTGTTGTGTGCGCTTCCTAATGTTCAGGAGTCGATGTTTTTGTTGCAGTGAAGGACACACACACACACACACACACACACACACACACACACACACACACACACACACACACACACAGTGGTGGAGCACCTGGAGCGGAACAAGATTATAAACGACAGCCAGCACGTATTCATGGAAGGCAAATCCTGTGTCACAAACCTACTAGAGTTTTATGACAAGGTAACTGAAGTAAGAAATGAGAGGGAGGGGTGGGTTAATTGCATTTTCTTGGACTGCAAGAAGGCCTTCGACACAGTTCCTCACAAGAGATTAGTACAAAAGTTAGAGGAACAGGCACGTATAACAGGAAGGGCACTGCAATGGATCAGAGAATACCTAACAGGGAGGCAACAGCGGGTCATGGTCCATGATGAGGTATCACAGTGGGCGCCAGTGACGAGCGGGGTCCCACAGGGGTCAGTCCTGGGACCAGTGCTATTCTTGGTATATGTGAACGACATGACGGAAAGGATAGACTCAGAAGTGTCCCTGTTTGCAGATGGCGTGAAGTTAATGAGGAAAATTAAATCAGACGCGGACCAAACAGGTCTACAAAGAGACCTGGACAGGCTGGATGTGTGGTCCAGAAACTGGCTCCTAGATTTAACGCCAAATGCAAAGTCATGAAGATCGGAGGAGGGCAAAGAAGACCACAGACAGAGTATAGGCTAGGAGGCCAAAGGCTGCAAACCTCACTCATGGAGAAAGACCTAGGAGTGAGTATAATATCTAGTACATCGCCAGAAGCACACATTAACCAGATAACTGCTGCGGCATATGGGCGCTTGGCAAACCTGAGAATAGCGTTCCGGTGCCTAAGTAAGGAATCGTTCAAGACTTTATACACTGTGTACATCAGGCCCATACTGGAGTACGCAGCACCAGTTTGGAACCCATACCTGGTCAGACACGTCAAGAAGTGCAAAGATTTGCAACAAGGCTTGTTCCAGAGCTAAGGGGAATGTCATATGAAGAAAGGTTAAGGGAAATCGGTCTGACAACACTGGAGGACAGGAGGGTCAGGGGAGACATGATAACGACATACAAAATATTGCGTGGAATAGACAAGGTGGACAGAGACAGGATGTTCCAGAGATCGGACACACAAACAAGGGGTCACAATTGGAAGCTGAAGACTCAGATGAGTCAAAGGGATGTTAGGAAGTATTTCTTCAGTCATAGAGTAGTTAAGGAAGTGGAATAGTCTGGCAAGCGATGTAGTGGAGGCAGGAACTATACGTAGTTTTAAGACGAGGTATGATAAGCTCATGGAGCAGGGAAAGAGAGGACCTAGTAGAGGTCGGTGAAGAGGCGGGGCCAGGAGCTGAGTCTCGACCCCTGCAACCACAATTAGGTGAGTAACACACACACGCTCGCGCGCGCGCACGTATACATATTCACATGGTAGAAAACATTGTTAACAAAACACCTAAAAGAAATTGTGTGTGTATTTCTACTCCAAGCTGGAGTC